TGTGAGGACGCCATTGGAAGAGTGTGCTTATTGCCCAAGGAAATTTTTCATGAAGTTGTTAGGTAATGCCTTATTTATGCCCAGCTTGTTAGTTGAATGATCAGTTTCTCCACACCTTCCTCCTTGCAGTCACAAAAACTTCTGATCACTCTATCTTAAAAGACAACCTTGATTGCCCTGATTGATGTAGATGTCATCATCATGTAGATGTCATGCGTAAAACATCATGGAGTAGTAAATTCAAGTTGGTCGCAGTGTGAAGTGCCACAAAGATTTTTCAAACGAAAAGGAAAATTTGTATTCAGATTTTATTATCACTGGCAGTTGGCATTATTGATAAGCATTAAGTGTTGGATTTTTTCAGTTGTCATCAATATTCATGAAATTTATACAATTTTCCATCCTCTTATTCTAGGTATGGTCTATGGTTACTAGGATGTTCACATGATTCAGGCAGATGTCACGCTACGATGTTCTTCGGTCTTTTACTTCAATTTCAGACCATCCTTGAGGAGTTTGACACTCAAGTTGGACTTAGAATCTTATATAACGTTGTGAGTTTTTTTTGGTTTTGTTCTATAAATTTCACTCTGCATAGTAATATAGTTTTAATTGTTCCTTAAAATTTTTACCTCTACATAATTTGCGAATAATTAAATAAGTAACTGGATAAATAATTAGATAAAGAATTGATGTAGTTCGTCTTAAGTAGAAGTTATCAATAATGGAAAGGAAAAATTTGAAATGAATACAATTTTTAATGTGAAAATTAATTAATATTCAAGCACCTGCGACTTGTTCACGTCAAATTGAGTGCACTAGTAATTTAAGTAATGTTTTCTAGAATTCGAATTCTACTTCTAGACCTAGGTAATAATAATTCTAAACTAACTAACTAACCAACCAACCACTGCAATGGAAACCAGACGTTTTTAAAAAATGAAGTTTCTTCGTTAAGAGAATGCTTAAGAAAGTGAAATTCCTTTGAGTTTTAAGGGGAACACCCACAAAAAAGTCACCCTCCTACTTGTTTATGGCAAATTTAGTCTTGATGTAATTTCTTATTTTTGCAGATGAGTATGTTACAACTCTTATCAAACGAAGGTGATACAGTCAACGTGTATGTCATGTGTGCGTCGATCTGAAACGTTACTTACAGTCCCCTCCCTTTTTTTTAAGGTGCCCAAACTCCAACTAGGTGAAATAGGACTGCCAAGTGATAAGGTAGGCGTTTTTTAACGAATTAGCAGGCTAAATTTGTGTGGACTGGTCATGATGCAACATATAAAGAAAGAGTTTTTTTTTAGAAAGAAAGCCCGCAATAAATTGAGCAATTCTTACTGGTTGAGAGTTTCTATAATATCTTCATCCACTGATTCACAGCGTTTAACGGGTGATTTAAAGAGTGTTTAAAATTTCCTACAATTTTCAATAAACGAAACCAAATAACATCAAGTAAGGGGCTAAAAGTCAGTTTGAACTCTTTTCCGCCAGGAGGATCCATGTTATTTCTAAACTTCAAACATGTATTTCTCGAAATAGCAAACATTGCACTTATGCGCCTTGTCCCTAAGCCCCATGAGTAACTTACAAAAAAGTGGAGGCACTCAATTAATTTCTAATGATGGGTCATCAAGTATTTGTTTTTTGCTTATAATTTTTCACTCGATACAATCAAAAGTTTGATTTGAAATGCATTGAAATGGAGATGCAAAATTATTTCGAAACTCAAGTCTGTTTTTTCCATTGTTAATTTTGAAGAAGACAAAATTCATGCGTTAACAATCTAGTCAATGATGCTCTCGAAAGAAGACCTAAAGACATGAAAATTTTGCACTCTTAACCACCCTAGCAACTTTTCTGTGAATGACGATTTCAGCGTCGCGAGTCAAAAATGAAGAAAGCAGTTTTTAGCCGTGAGTTTCGAACAAATAAAGAAGAGCCTTTTATTTTGGCAGCATTTGAGAGAAAATACAAATGGCACTGAGAATTGCATTGCTGTTCTCTAGTTCTCTAGTCTGACTGCATTAAACAGGATGGAATTAAGCAACATCAGCTATTGCCAAATTTAATTGGCCAATTTAATTTCTTACATGAAAACAGTTGTGCTGATTTTCGTGCAAATTTCAGTGAAACTTCTCCATTATACGAGGCATATTTCTTAAAATTGTCAAAGAAATCCGAACAAACTTTCTCTCGTAAAAAATGTAATTGCCCAGTTAAACTTGGCAATAGCGGATGTGGCTTGGTTCCTTTCTGCTAAACGCGGTCCAATTAAGTTGAAATTTTCAAAACTTCTCCCGAGATAACATTCTGCCTTCAAAAAGATATTTTTGTTTTCGTATCGACTTATGAGTTGTTTTTTCAAATATCTGGGAATCAGTGGATGAAGATATTATAGAAACTCTCAACCAGTAAGAATTGCTCAATTTATTGCAGGCTGTATCTTTTGGAAAATAAATTGCATCAGAAAATCCTGATCGCTGATTTACTTAAGCTGCTAACTTTTCTTCTGATACTCTGTATTTTTCGCATGGATTTTTTTTTTGTTTCTACTCACCCACGCATTATTTTTCAAAGAGGTATTGACGTCTGTGCTCTGTGCTTTAGGTTCCTGCAGAATGGTGGAATAAAACTATAGAGCACCAATTGGACCAGGGAGGCAAAACTTGCAGTGACTTCCAAGATAGAGGACCAACCATTTTATAATATAAGTGGTAAGTTTTATTTTCCCCTAATTTTTGACAGAAGGATTTAGGCTGGTTCCCCTCAATTTCAGAAGTTCTGATCGGGAATTTCTGCGTTTTACTTCGAGACTATGAGCAAAGGCTAACAAGAATTTCTAGATTTTCACCTATTAACAGCGGTTTTCTTGGTTGCTACTTATCTCCTCATTAGAGGTTGCCTTTTGGTACATACTCTGAATCTTCATTCTTCCATTTTTATGGAGGAGCTCCAAGAAGTTGTCAAAAATTACTGCAGAGTGTTTAAAATTTCCTACAATTTTCAATAAACGAAACCAAATAACATCAAGTAAGGGGCTAAAAGTCAGTTTGAACTCTTTTTCGCCATGAGGATCCATGTTATTTCTAAACTTCAAACATGTATTTCTCGAAATAGCAAACATTGCACTTATGCGCCTTGTCCCTAAGCCCCATGAGTAACTTACAAAAAAGTGGAGGCACTCAATTAATTTCTAATGATGGGTCATCAAGTATTTGTTTTTTGCTTATAATTTTTCACTCGATACAATCAAAAGTTTGATTTGAAATGCATTGAAATGGAGATGCAAAATTATTTCGAAACTCAAGTCTGTTTTTTCCATTGTTAATTTTGAAGAAGACAAAATTCATGCGTTAACCCTTTCTTGCATAGTGGTACAATTGTTGTACCACCCATTACATAATTTTTTTGGCGGATCCAAAACGTGGCAACAAGGCGGTGCCGACTTGTATAGGTCCAGTAAGTGCTTCTCTCTAGCGGTGATTTTTTGTTTCACTCAAATCGGATGGCTAGTCCTATTTTTGTTAGTTTGTTTCCATGAAAATGAGGATAAAACGGTCAGCTGGTCAGAGCTCGGGGTTTTGGTTGTTTCATGTCGTTCAAATAACTTTTGATAAGTAAATTTTATATTTTCTGGTTCCTCATGATGCAGGCTTTCAATTTTTATCAGTTACAAAAATATGAATTTTTTTTGTTTTTTTCAAAACCGCGAATTTGTGGTGGTACATATATGGCCCACTAAGCAGCAGGGGCTCATGTAAACAACGTAACCTCAAACATAACTTGTTTTGTTTATCATTTTCTGGGGGTAGGGGGAGGAAAGAGGGGGGAGGGGGGGCTAATAGGAACATCTTAGTAAGGTCTGAACAAGCATCAAGCAGAATTAGGAAAGAGTTCAAAAATTTGGAAATTATTCTAACCAAGAACTAATTTTTATCGATTTCTCAAGAAATTACCTATTTCTAGCAGTTTTGAGGGGTAAGAAAGGTGGGTTTTGACTTGGTAAAACTTATTGAATTTGACAAAACATGATGTATGGCCATGTCAGCATGCTTTTACCATGTAACTACTCCAATTTTGAAAAAAAATCAAAAAATTTCATGCATTTGAACCCAGATTTCATGAAAAAATCTAGTTTTTCGGGGTCAGCAAACAGCATAATTGATGCTAAATTTAAAAAAAAATTAATTTTCTCACAAATTTTTGGTAAAATATGAAAGTAAAAGTATCAAATGAAGCGCTAAATGAGTAAAAACTATGAAAATATTTTTTTTAGGTATTCTGGAGTCAAAATTTGAAGAAAAACCTTCACGCTCCTCAGCTTCTCGGGTAAAAAAACACATAAAAAATGAAAATTTCGGTATTACATTCAACATTTGCTTATAAATGTAGCAGGAAGCAGTATATGTAACTGTTACTCTTATAATTTATCAGCAAAAATTATCTAAATTGCATATTTTCATCATTTTTAACAATTTTTAGCAGTTTCGCTCTATTGCACATAAGGAGGTCCTTGCTGCTTAGTGGTACACTTGTTGTACCACCATTTTTTAGGCACTTCCGGTGATCGGATCAATATGAAAAAATTCATGTGTCTTCAGGGAGCCTAAAGGAACATAGATATCAAAAGAAAATTGAAAAAAATCTAAAATTAAAAATTGGTGCAAGAAAGCGTTAACAATCTAGTCAATGATGCTCTCGAAAGAAGACCTAAAGACATGAAAATTTTGCACTCTTAACCACCCTAGCAACTTTTCTGTGAATGACGATTTCAGCGTCGCGAGTCAAAAATGAAGAAAGCAGTTTTTAGCCGTGAGTTTCGAACAAATAAAGAAGAGCCTTTTATTTTGGCAGCATTTGAGAGAAAATACAAATGGCACTGAGAATTGCATTGCTGTTCTCTAGTTCTCTAGTCTGACTGCATTAAACAGGATGGAATTAAGCAACATCAGCTATTGCCAAATTTAATTGGCCAATTTAATTTCTTACATGAAAACAGTTGTGCTGATTTTCGTGCAAATTTCAGTGAAACTTCTCCATTATACGAGGCATATTTCTTAAAATTGTCAAAGAAATCCGAACAAACTTTCTCTCGTAAAAAATGTAATTGCCCAGTTAAACTTGGCAATAGCGGATGTGGCTTGGTTCCTTTCTGCTAAACGCGGTCCAATTAAGTTGAAATTTTCAAAACTTCTCCCGAGATAACATTCTGCCTTCAAAAAGATATTTTTGTTTTCGTATCGACTTATGAGTTGTTTTTTCAAATATCTGGGAATCAGTGGATGAAGATATTATAGAAACTCTCAACCAGTAAGAATTGCTCAATTTATTGCAGGCTGTATCTTTTGGAAAATAAATTGCATCAGAAAATCCTGATCGCTGATTTACTTAAGCTGCTAACTTTTCTTCTGATACTCTGTATTTTTCGCATGGATTTTTTTTTTGTTTCTACTCACCCACGCATTATTTTTCAAAGAGGTATTGACGTCTGTGCTCTGTGCTTTAGGTTCCTGCAGAATGGTGGAATAAAACTATAGAGCACCAATTGGACCAGGGAGGCAAAACTTGCAGTGACTTCCAAGATAGAGGACCAACCATTTTATAATATAAGTGGTAAGTTTTATTTTCCCCTAATTTTTGACAGAAGGATTTAGGCTGGTTCCCCTCAATTTCAGAAGTTCTGATCGGGAATTTCTGCGTTTTACTTCGAGACTATGAGCAAAGGCTAACAAGAATTTCTAGATTTTCACCTATTAACAGCGGTTTTCTTGGTTGCTACTTATCTCCTCATTAGAGGTTGCCTTTTGGTACATACTCTGAATCT